AGTGGTTAGCCAGTCGGTGGGCGTGCCGCGTCTATAGCGCCGCAGGGAGGGCCATGCTAGGTCGCCGGGGGCATATCCTTCACTGCGAATTGCGTGTGGATCCGAGCCCTTGAGTGTCTTCTGTCTTTCCAGTAGGTATGTTACCCTTCTTAGACCTCCGACCTTATCATGGAATCCTCCTTCAATTCAGTGATTAAATTAGTCCCCGTCGAGTCAATCGCGACCAATGGCTAATTCGTGATTGGCCGCTTTCTGAGTTCGTCGTCAAAGGCCTTTACTGCTTCTCTAGTAGTATAATAATACCTGCTGGAGAAGCAGTAATGATTTTGCTTTCGATTCACTGTTATCCTACAGTTTGTCGAATATAAATTCCGGTGAAAATAAGGCGTCCTGCACAAAGATGGGATTAAAATAATCATTGCCCTCGAATTCATATTCGACCTTCGTAACCACCGGGTGGTGAGTGTAGAGCTCGGGGTGTTTTATCCTACTAAACGAGTCCATTATAATGTCGAGGATGGGCAACTTTACAAAGTCGAAAGGCAGGCTTTTCCGAAGGGTGAAAATGCGCGACTCGCAACGGAGAAGTATGCTTTGAGCAGGCCTAGCAGGACTATACATACGCCACTCGCGCCGCGGCACGCCCACCCTCTGGTGGTCCGACTCTGGCATTAGCAGAGAGCATTAGCGTTGAGAGAGCAGCACTGATGAGAGTCGCATCAATGCGGAAATCAACGGGCAAGGAAGGGTCCCATTTCTCGGGTTCTGGGCCATTTCTCATGTTTTTCTTCATCCCGACACCACTGATCACCTCTACCTAATCTAATGGGCTGCCTTCTAGTCGTGAACTCCACCATTCAATCGCTTCGAATTGCACGTCGGGCATATTTGCGGAACTTGGTGCAACTCCTTCTGATAAGTCTCCTTTCTGAAGTTTTCTCTAGTTCTGCGTTGAATGCCTTGTTATTTTTATTCGATTTTCGGCTAATTCAATTATTGGTCTCGTAAATTTTAATTTCTTCTTGCTTTGTTTTGCTCATAGATACCTAAAGGGCTGAATGTTGTACAATATCACATCAGTTTTCCTTCAGCAATCACGGCTGGAATTGGATAACTGCCGTCAATGTCTCGATGATGTCGTCAGTCTTTTGGAGAATATGGATGATCTGTTGGCCGAACTGAACGAACTGTTACACGCCATCAAAATGCCTGTTGTAGGCGGCTGGAGTCCTTTATTACGTGCAGACGTTATTGTTATCAGAAGAGAAAAAACGGGTGTGTCGTAGGGCTTGGCGATGTCATTTTGATTCACTTTGCTAATTTTTTTTCCAGGAGATCCTCCCGGAGCTGCTCTTTGTCTTCTCGATCACATCTCAACGCTTCATCCGAATTTACACGCTAAAGCGTTTGACGTATGCTGTCAGCTGTACGAGAAAATTTGCTGGAGAGAATGAGGCAGCTGAGGTAATGTTGAGAATTTCCTTTGGCTTTCAGTGAGGATTGTCCATACTCAGCCGAACTTGGAATTGGACTGATATACTCGATATCGGTGAGTTGGGGTAGGCGTGTCACCGGAAGTGACGTGCACTTGATAGAAACTATGTGGATAAGCTGCTTCCAGCATACATCGTTGGCTATCAGCCAAGCATGCTGGCACGCTTATCCACGCACTTCTGTCAAGTGCACGTCAACTTCCGTGACCATTCCCAAGGATCGAATCGGACTATATACCATCTCCACCTCAAGCGCTGACAGTCGCCGGTCGTGGAAGGTGCCTAAACGCATTGAATATATTCGGGTTTGCTGGAAATTTGAGCACGGTCATGTGAAAAGCTCGTTTTGAAGTGAAGAAATGTCGTTGCAATCATTTGAAAAAAGTTTGGGTTCAGATGAAAAACGTCAGTCATTGAAATATTTATTTATCTGAAGCGTGAAAATAATTATATATTTTTTACGCAGGCAACTGACTGAATTCGCGCGTGTATTGGAAATAGAGCGAGAATTTGCTTTCTTCAATCTCCTGTTTTATTTGATTTTTAACATAGTTTTATTGCAGGTAACATGAACTGTACAACGACTCGTACGTCGATCGCCGGCGACATTTGGCTGGCGGTGTGCGGCGTGCAATCCAAGCTACTGGAAAAAGGCTGTGGTGGGAGATGGTTCCGTACACCACATGGGCAAATCCAATTGTCTTAGGATACGGTAGTGATATTGGTAAACTGCCAGGGTTTATCGAGTTTTTCTTCAGATTCTTGAGATCATCGCACCGCCATTTTCCGATGATCTCATCTCGCTCTTCTTGCCGTTGGTTAGTGACGAAGAGATTTTCGATAAAGCTGCTCATGTGAGTTTTCTTGCTAGGTATTTGCTTTTTCATAATAAAATGCATTTGTTGATTTCAACACTTCGATCAAAGTGGTTGCTGAAAGACTTGTCGATACCCTTCTAGAGCAAAATCGAGAGAGTAATTCCGTGGAAATTTCCTAGAGGTGTGAGGAGAGAGCGAGCCACACATATGACCACGGGTTCCGCCTCGATCTTTTTTGTTCTTCAAGGTCGAGAGGGATTTCTTTTTCGAGGCGAGTCCCAGTGGCACTTATGAGCGGCCTCACAGGGAGGAAGAGATTGCGGTCTGTGTCTGTGTTGATACAGGAATAAAACAGATCCACGCTGTCCCTACCACCTCGAAGGCAGAGTTCCTGATAAGAAGGCGCCAATTAGATGTAAAGTAGAGGTGGTCAGTGGTTCCGGGATGAAGGAAAAAATCCATGAAAACGGCCCAGAACCGAGAAATGGGACCCTTCCTTGCCCGTTGATTTCGCATTGATGCGACTCTCATCGGTGCTGCCCTCTTCAACGCTAACGCTCTCTCTGCTAAACGGCTAGAGACCTGCGGCGAGTGGTTAACCAGTCGGTGGGCGTACCGCGCCGATGGTCGACGGACTACTTGAACTCAGCCCTTTAAACCGCCTCTGCGCTCTCTCGCGGGTCCCTCTCCTCTCCAAGGCTTAGTCCTAGGGCATTCACCCGTTCTCTAATCGTCTGTGCTCTAGCCATCGCGGCAGGACCATTGAGGAAAAATCAAGTAGTCCGTAAACCCGCGCCGATAGCACCGCGGGGACGGCCATGCTAGATCGCCGGGGGCATATCCTTCGATGCGAATTGCGTGTCGGTCCGCACCCTCAGAGGTCCGCCTGTCTTTCCACTAGGTAAGTTCCTTTTCTTCGATCTTCGACCTTATCGTGGAATCTCCTTCAAGGCGGTGAGGCCCTTGGTAGCCGATGATAGCCTCGCACACCATGACCTAAGCTTTACCCTTGTTTCTTTAAAATGGCCAACAGAACGTCCTCGACACTTATAATAGTCCCTTATAGGAGCGCTTTCCGGCTGCTGGTGAATTTATACAGTACTGTCGTGAACGGATGTCTACTGCAACGGTCACTTAGCCGTAAGTGATTTCACTTTTAATTGCATAAGTATTATGATCGATTTTGTGATTGTGAATATGCATATTTAGGTGCAAAGGGTCGATGTGCTAGGAATTTATTGTTTTGGAGTACTTCGTTTGGGAACTTCGGGAATGGCGCGGTTCTTCGTCAAGAGGTTTTACCACTGCATAATGGTTTATCGTGAACAATCGAAGGCGTTCTGATTCGAAACTTTATCTGTATTATAATGGATCGTATAACATTCGTATAATGTATGCTATACGAAGTTATCTGTATTATAGGACAGCTTCACTTCACATTATCTATGTGGTGCTTCATCCTTCTCAAGTCAAGCTTCAGTTGGACCGAGAAGGGTACTTGTCTTGTTGGTGGGGATCTTGGGTTTATTTCTCCGCTTAATCTGTCATCCTGAAATATACATTCCGATTCTTAGAGGGGGAGTGGGGCAGTGGTTCATGACTTTTTCGCATCAGCTAGCATTCACTAACGCCGCAGAGCGACATCTCGAGAGGAGCTGGAGTAGAGCGCATCACTGGTGTTAAGTATTGAATGTCCCCGCCAAAAGATAGAGCGATAATGGGTTCACAGTCTATAGAGAGTGGCGAGTACTATCGCGCCGCAGCGCCTACAAGTGCCCACCTTTATCAAAGCCCATGCCCTGATCGGATTAACCTATCTAGGATTTTTGAAGGCTTATCCGATCAGGGTATTGTTTGTCAAGAGCTGTTACAAAGGGGCAGGGTGCCGCATTTCTGATCTTGCCGCTTGATCCGCGCCTTTTCGGCCGCGTTTCTGTTGACGCGAAACGGTTATTGCATCACACCGTCCCAGGGGGCGCGTTCTTTGGATCTACTCATGGAGCCATTTTTGTTCGACGATGTTATTAACTTATTCTTTTTCTATTCTTGTTGATGTGTCACATATCAGATTATTACACTAGATAATTTGGTACTTTACAGTCTTTTGCGTCTTGATGTCGTTTTAAACGATTTTGTATACAGATAAAGTTATTCGGGTACGAAAGGAGGAGGGTGTGCGGTTGTGACGCGTGAAATTTTATTCATAATGCAAATTCAGTTTTCGAGGTCTACTCCGCGAACTCGTAAAAGGAAGTCCAACGGATCTGAATGGTCGCCAAAGCGACCGCGTTGCAACCGTTCGCTCACCAAATGCACATTCCTCTTTTGTCTTCCTATTTAATCTGATGTCAAGAACTGGTTTCCTTTACAGTGGCTAAATAAATTTGTAAATATTGGTTCAGGTTTTTATCAGTTCGAATAAACCTTGGTTTTGATATCGTTCACTGAGCTAGTGGTTCGTCGCAATAGCAAAGACGATACGAGCTGTAAATAATCAACTCCCTGAGTCAGGCGTCAACCGCCGCTTGCGCAAAGCAACAACGAAGGGGGGGTCGGTATTCGGCAATGGACAAGAAGAGGGGGTATAACCGTCATTATCATTACAAAGTTAGAGAGTGTGTTAAGGCGTGGCAAGTGCCAAAGGAGGACAGGACTTTCAACTGCCACTGCCGGACTATGCACACCGACCAATGAATTGGCGCACATACTATAGGGAGTTTATGTTGTTGGGATAAAAATACGGACACGTCCAGTAAACGGCGAAAAAATCTTTCAGAGAATCTCCCATGCTCTTCGACCGATCAAAGTGGAGGGTAGAGCAGCGATTTCGGCTGGTTGACCTCTGGAGAACTAATAGAAACCATGGCAGGTGAAAGGTTTTCCTTTCAACACAATCCAGCACCTGCTACTGATCTTTCTGATTTCAGTGGTCTTTACTGCTTCTCAAATGTATTGACGCATGGCAATGTGGTGGTTGAATACTCGCGTTTTACGAGAATGGCCTAAAAAGCCATTGAAGAAAAAAAAAAGCGAAAAAACGCGGACGATTTCCGAAAGAGTGATTATTTAGAAAAAGGCTTATGTTCTTTGGAAGGGCGATTTTTATAGGGTTTTCTAATGAAAGCGCAAAGCTTTTTGCCGTTTATCATCTCGGTTTGGGTTTGCCCGCATGACACAATCAACCATAAAACGACCTTGCTGAATTCTTCAACTCCTAACCCCACTAATCCTGGGAGGAAAGCACCCAAAGGTACCCTGGCAAATGGAGGCATCTCAGTGATAATGCTACTTGGTTACGTCTCTGATCTGTTGGTTCTTAGGAAAGATAAAACTTGAAGAGAAGAAAGCGTCGAATTTGGGCAGGAATCATGGGACAACCCAATATAATCACTGCGAGGTAACATGTGAGCTGAACCTAACGAAGACGATGTTTATGAGAAACGGATTGGTTCCTGATGCCCCATTCACGCTCAACGGAACGAACATCACCGAATGCTCCAGCTACGTGTACCTAGGTCGGGAAATCAATATGATGAACGATCTAGCTCCAGAGCTGAGCAGGAGGAAACGAGCGGCTAGCGAAGAAGACGGAGAACACCCGTCTTCGTGCTCACATCTTCGATTCTGCAGTCCTTCCTGCCTTAAAGGCAAAGTTCGGGCTCAGACCCACCTAATAAGCCCTTAAAGTGACTAGAAGTGCACGGGACGCAGCTGCAGGCGACTCGCCAAGTTCCGCATCCAAATGCGTCACTAAGGCGCTAGGGGCCAAGGACTTTGACACGCTCCTCCTGTTGCGACACGCTCCGCCCACCGCTCGATATCTTTGTCTGCGTCGCAATTTGATCTGCTATGCTCTCTCTTCTCGGATTTCTCTACCGCTCTCCGCGCTCACATTATCTCTCATCTCCCTGCCGGCCTTTTGAACTTCTCCGCAACGTAGAGCAAAAGGCTCGTATTTCCTGTGTATTTCAGGATTTTCCTTCCTTTTTTCTCCACTGGCGGTCACCCTCCCGCCCCTACATCACATTTGAGTAGAATTACCTCATCGGTTTAAGCTTGAATTCTTGCCTTAACCTACGCCTCAGAGACTTGGACTCTGCGCAGGCAGGACGAGCATGCGGTCAGCGTTATCCAACGCGCTGTCGAGAGGACGATGCTAGGAGTAACCCTATACACGCAAGTGCAGAGGGGAATCCGGAGTGCCGAACTACGCCAACGATCGAAGATCAGGGACGCTGCCGTTTTCGCCAAGGAATCGAAGATAAGGTGGGCCGGACACGTCATGCGATGACCGTTGGACCAGAGCGGTTACCGACTGGATCCCTCGGGACGTCAAACGAACACCTGGACGACCGCCGGCCCGATGGTCAGACTTCTTCACGAAAGCTCTGAACGAAAGGAATGAAGGACTCGTCGAGCGAGGAGGGTCCACTGGACAACTCTTGCACGCGACAGGGACGAATGGAGACGTTGCTGGCGCCCGCTCGAGCAATTCGATGATCAACGGGACGACAGGTGATACAGGTGACGGTAAGATGCCAAAAATTCTGCCAAAGATATCAAGTTTGACTTGTGTCCTAGCAGCGAACGTCTGCGGTGATTTTTTGAGGTACTGTGGAGAACAATATCACGTCCAATAGGGCGTGTCCACGGTGTTGCAGTGCAATTTCGCTACGATCCCACTATCACCTCATCATACAAGCGACATCGGCGATCATGTAACAAAGTGAAGAAAGGCACTGACTGATAGCTAGTATCGAATGATGAAGCCTGAATATCTGGTTTTTCATGTCAGCGGCGAGGCTCCGTAGGCTACCACCACTATCACCACCAGTTGCATTGTCCCACATGTGACTGATCCGTTGATTCATTAGCTTGTACGGCATTCTGCAACTGTTGAGAACCGGTTGCAGTCATGCAATCAATATAGTGAGTGGGAAACCATACATAGCCAACAGTGAAAGGATACACGATGAAGTATTCGACATTAAGAAGTGCGCCAATAGTTGGCATCCTTTCAAAATCGCACTTGACTGCATTTTGCTGTGACTTGATTTCCCTGGAATAGATTCGTCAATGATTTCGCGCTCGAACCATATGGTTTTGAGGAGCGACATCAAAGGCCTCTTCAGCGATTGAGTGGGTGAAACTTATTGCGTTCAAAAATAAAACTACCTGTATCACCTGTCGTCCCGTTGATCATCGAATTGCCT